CAAACATGCTCCCCCCACTACTCCAAACCTGCTCCCCCACTACGCCAAACCTGCTCACGCCGTCAAAAAAAATATTTAAAGTAGCTTATGGTTTGCCTAAACCTTAGGTGTATTTGAGTGAAATGGCATAGCATTACAGTGATTTTGACACTGATAAAATAGAGATATCTTGTTATCTGTTGTAGTCAACTAATGTGGAAGGTTATTTGGTGACCGCCTTCGTGAGACTTGATACAAACGGTGAGTTTTCTTTTTCCTCATTTTTTTATCCTCTCTGTCGAACCCGTCCCCTGGCTTTTTATCGCAACCACGTCTCATTTCGAAAATAATTGATTTATTTCAAAATGAAGACCATAAAGAAAAACATACAGAACGTAAGTGTCATTTGGAAAGAGTTTATTCAGGCGGTTAACCTATGTGTTGGTTGCGGAACTTTGCTATGGAGATTATGGAGCATGTCCCGGAAACAACCAAAAGCACTCACTCAGCATGTAACAATAAAACACACTTTCATCTTAATTCGTAAAGGGCCAAGGTCTGTGATGGTAACTTGGCTTGGGAAGTCCACGGATTTGCTTCCAAAAAGAATTATGGCACCCAAAACTTCATACGTTGCTCTGTTTGAATGTTAACTCAGTGAACTTTTGCCCATTTATTCCTTTTGAGTAGAAGGTGCACAATTCTTCTCTTTGGTAAAGTCACTGGCTAGGCGATACGGAGAAAATAAGAAATTGCATTTCTTATGGGTCGATCCTGATCCATTTCCAACGGTTAGTTCTGTATGAGATTATTTATAGTGTAGTTTGAATTTGGTATTTTACTGAATACTATCACGTTAGTGGTCGAACAACTATGGTGAGTATTTTTGAACTTGGCACTTGGAGAAATCAGAAAAAAAAACCTCGAAGATAGCTGGAGGCCCGTCTCAAAGTAGAACATAGCGTCCATTTGGCGCGAAAATATGAACGAATTTGTTCTCGCACATTATTTGTTCCTAGATGAGAACTGTTTTCTGAGAGCGAAGCTCGAGGAAAACTCTGAGCTTCGAGGAACAGATAATGTCTAAGGACAAATACATGAGCATGCTTTCGCGCCAAATGAAGGTTATTGTGTCAATCATTCTTCATATATTTTTGCAACACACGGGGAAGATATTAACGAACAGCTTACTGTTTGCTCTGTCGAATGTTTACTTCTCAGTATTCTCTGGTACGACTTTACGGACAAGCACACATGTCCCTTCATCTGTAAGAATGGCTAAACGCTCTCTCATCTTGAACTACTTTTGAAACGAATACTATTATCCTAGTGGACGTAAGGTTCGAGAATTGGGGAATATCACTTAGGTTATATCCTTGGATATTCCCCAGTTTCAGCTAGGGCATATTCGGTCCTGTGATGAGTTTAGACCAATCGCACGCGGGCAAAAATATTTGATGGATGATGAACAAATTTATAGTCTTGGCCATTTCTTTTGATGCAGTTTTCAGCAAAAATAAAAACTTGAAAGTGAAGGATGTATTCGTCATTTAGGCACCTTGAGTCTTCCTGGATCAACAAATGAATGTACTAAAATCTGAATGAATATTTTTTTCCTCTTGCTTTAGATGCGGGATTACTGGCAAAAGTCGTACAATATCGATGTTAACTCTCCCGTCATAGGGGTCATTGAGCCAAAATTTGTAAGTGCTTTAAATGTAGAATATATTCTTTGATTACCAAACCATACGTTTTAGCTCAAAGTCTATATATAGAGGCAGAAAGTTAAAAAAAAAAAAACTGAAATGTATCGTGGAGTGATAAAAATACAAGCTGAAGACGGCAGACCCTGTGGCTTTTAGAGGCGAAGCCGAAAACTCGAACTCAGGACCTCTGGTTCGCGAGTTTAGCGCTCGAACCTCCGCGTGGCTTCGTCCTTTTTTTTCTTTTATGTATTATCAATTTCATGTTCGTTAAAAATAACGCTTTCCATTTTTCAAAATTTAAAGCAACAAACAAATTTCCTCTTCTATGAAACAGAGCAAAAGTTCTTGGTTCGAAAGGAAAGGAAAAGAACCTAAATTACGTCATCTCCAACAGTGGGTAGAAGATATCCTGGCGGGTAAAGTGGAGCTAAAAGAGCCAGCAGATTCTGCGCAAACGAGTCAGGGGCAAAACACTGAAGAGCAATTGAAGAAAGAGGAGCTTTGACCTTAGTTTTTTTTTTTTTTAAGACGTAGTAGATTCAGCGTCCTGTTGCAAACAGAGAACTCTAGCAAACTGTATGAAAAGAAAAAGTATGACACCTCGACCGTACTCCTATGATAAATTTAACTGACTGAAGAGGAATCAAAGCTGCGGAAGGGGGCAAACGCGGATGATATCTTTGTTACCATTCGATCATTTGCTTCTTCCCCCTCTCCCCCGCCCCCT